CATTGTGTTACGGATCTGGTAAAGGGACTCACGTGCAAACAACGACTCAGCAAGGCAGAGCATTTCCAACAATAAAATTTATGTGCAACATTTACACAAAAATACAGGAAACGGAAATGACTCAAGAACAACCACAACACCAAACTGGAGAGACCTCTGCTAGTGTGGCAAAAGAATATCAAAACAACCTTTTAACCCAAATACAGAACTAGAGAGACCTCTGTTGGAGTGGTGAAAAAAATACAACTCGGGAAATTTTCACAAAGCAAATACAAAGAACTTAGCTATATAGGTTAACCCAAACTTGCTACAAACAAGCTTTGGAAATCTAGATAGACTATAACTATTACTACAAGAACCCAGCAGAGGAACAGAGAACTTAACTGGCGATCAGCAAGAGGAATGGGGAAGGGATGGTGAGCGGAGCAGGCGTGCAGCCTGGAGGACACAGTGTTTGGCAGGTGCAGCCACTGAGGTAGTGGATTCGTGACTGAGAATACAACCAGTTGCAGATGGTCATTCAATACCAGTCTTAGAAATCAACTCTTAACAGTACTTATCAGAGCCTCAATCAGTCTTTCCAAGTGAACCAAAACACACCTCCAGGCTCTGTGAGGACTATTATACCATGAAGTAATGGAGACCAGTATTATATGATTTGGCCTCAACAATCACCTGACCTGAAGACTGTTGAGTTTCATTGTTAGAAACTCATAAAGCTGGTTCAGAGAAGGCAATCGTGTGGAAAATGTATTAATGCTTTTGCTTACTATATGAATCGAAATGTGTGATTTCAAAGTTTTGATGCATACAGTATTTTACTACAATGCAGGGAAAAAAGTATTGAATGAGTTTGTGGCCAAATTTTTGACTGGTACTGTAGCTACAGTGGCTGCAGAGCCTCAAATTCTAACAAGTGTTTGGGTTTTTCTCACAATACATACAGTTTGCCATTTTAGTTTCACAATTATAGCGATTCAAGAAATTGTTGAGTTGCATGGGGGGCAGTTTGTCAGTGTGGTTTTTCAACAACAAGAGTCTCTGTCTAGAGGTTTCTGAGCAGATAGTCAATTTTTAATCAGTTGAAGTGGTGGAAAGAACAAAACACAGAAGATTAATCTACTATTTAGTAAATCTACAACAAGAAATGACAAGAATGTATGTAGACTGTGGTGGTCAAACTGTAATAACTATGAAAACTATCTCAGACAATCAAAAGTGAGTGACAGCAACAAAGGTCCTGTGGCTCAAGTAAACACTGCAAAGCGCTTTGTT